ACAATGGACGAAGCGAAGATGAAGATGATTACGAAGGAGACTCAACAAATAACGACGTCACGGATGAAGGCGACATCGGAAGAGGTGAAAGAGAAAGTGATTACAGTGACGAAGACGATACCGAAAGGGAAGGAGAAAGCTATTGCGATGACGATGAAAAAGACGAAGACGATGACAAAGGCGAAAGGAAAATAGAAGGCCGTTACAGTGACGAAGACGATGAGGAAAGGAAAGGAGAAAGCTATTACCATGACGGTGACAAAGACGAAGACGATGACGAAGGGGGAGTAGAAAGCGATTGCAGTGATACCAGAGGGAAAAAAGAAAGCGATGACGACGATGAACACGAAGAAAGAAAACAAAGAAACAACATGAGTTACAAAGTTAAAGTGAAATCAAGGGACAATGGACGAAGCGAAGATGAAGATGATTACGAAGGAGACTCAACAAATAACGACGTCACGGATGAAGGCGACAGCGGAAGAGGTGAAAGAGAAAGTGATTACAGTGACGAAGACGATAACGAAAGGGAAGGAGAAAGCTATTGCGATGACGATGAAAAAGACGAAGACGATGACAAAGACGAAAGGGAAATAGAAGGCCGTTACAGTGACGAAGACGATGACGAATGGGAAAGGGGAAGCAGTTACAGTGAAGACGAAGAAGAAAGCTATTATGGGGACCGAGACGATAGCGAAAACGAAGGAGACAGTGATAACGACGATGACGTACTGGAAGGAGAAAGCGATTACAGTGAAGATGACGAAGAAAGCGATGATGAAGACGAAGACGATAGCGAAAGCGAAACCGATGACGAACTCGAGAACGAAAGCGAAGGAAAAAGTGATAACGAAGACGAAGACGAACGAGAACGCATTTACGATGACGAAAATAATGGCATTAAAAAAGGTAAAGCAGAAAGAGATCGCGATGTCGAAGGCGACAACGAAAGGAAAATACTAAAAGAAACAAGAAAAGAGGATGAAACCGTGAACGATGCGGACAAAACAAATGCTCAAAGAACAAACCAAAATGAAAGAGCAAATAAAGGAGAAGGCGCGAGGAGACAAGAAGATATAAACTGTAAAGATGTAACCAAAAACCAAGACGAAGCAACGAAAGAGGAGGAAACGAGAAAACATAAAAACGAAACAAAAGGAGAGGAAGGAGCAGCGAACCCAGGGAAGTGGAAGCAAGAAGACAAAACAAAGAGGCAAGAAGAAATGAGAAACCAGGAAGACAAAGCAAGTGAAGCAGAAACAGGGAACCCAGAAGGTAAGGAAGAAATGAGAGAACAAGGAGACGAAATCAATAAAGAGGAGGAAATGAGGAACCGAGAAGACAAGGCAAACAAGCAAACAGGGTACCAAGAAGACAAGACAAAGGAAGAGGATGATGCGAAGAACCGGGAAGAAAAGACAACGAAAGAAGAGGAAACGAGAACCAAAGGAGGCAAAAGGAAGTTAGAAGGAGAAACAAGGGAATTAAAAGCCAAAAATCAAATTGGCAACCAAGAAGGTAATTCAGATGAAGAGAATGGAGAGTTTGGTAAAACAGGGAACCAAGAAAGAAAATCAAGGAATGAACGAACGAGCAACCAAGTAAACAACAGAAATAAAGAAGAAAACATATGGGACCTAAGAGAAATCAAAACTGACGTAGCAGCGATGAAGAAACGAGAGGACCAGAGGAATAAAGAGGAAGAACTGAGGAACCAAGAAGGCAAAGCAAATAAACAGACAAGGAATCGAGAAGAAAATACAAATAAGGAAAAAACATGGGTAAAGGAGGAGGAGGAGGAGGAGGTGGAGACCATCACTCTGACTCCTCAACACACAGCAGGACCGGGCTGGGACGGCGAAGGAGCTCGGGGCAAACACGGGCGGCTGCAGGACGGCGCCGGAGCAAAGGTTAAGTACCATGATGATGATGATGATGAATATGATGGTGATGATGATGGGGATGATGATGACTACTGCTACTGATAATGATGTTATCAGTGAAGTCGTACTGATGTTTATTCGTCGTATGTCTGTTTGTGTATCTGTTTCTCACTATATGTGTGGATATTTTCAGATATACTCGATTGAGAGAAAAAAGAAGTACAACTTGCAAAGCAGTACATCTACATCTACCACTTCACGTAAGTTGTTTGTCTGTCTCTGTCTCTCTCTCTTCCTCACTTTTTCGTATGACGTAAGCTATCTCGCCGTATTAGTTTCCCCTCTTTTACCTGTCTAAATAAAAACCTACGATCTTGCACAGGAGATTACGAAGGCAGCAGCGCGGTATCCGTCAGGCCTAAAACCCGAAGCCGTCAGGAGCGGGAAGGCGCGGCGGGAGGCGACCCCGGTTCGCCGCTCGGCTCGGTCAGTCTGTTCTGTTTTCTATTTTTGAAATGCATGCGGGTATACACACGTGCATACAGACACACACACACATACACACACACACACACACACACACACACACACACACACACACACACACACACACACACACACACACACACACACACACACATATAACACAATACCAAGTTAATCAGATGGGGAAAGAACAAATTTTATTAGTATTAAACACCGTAATAGAAGAAATGATTGTAATATTACCCATCTTCCAGACTTCCAAGGGCAGCGAACCCGCGACGAGATCGCCGCACAGGAGACGGGGCCCTCAGGACGCCAAAGGAAGGCGAGGCTCAGGAGGAACCGACGGGGATGAATTCAGACCACAGGACTTGGCGGAGTTTCTGGGGCGGCAAGACGGCTTTCAAGCGCCCGTGGGCGACATGAGAGCTAATTTCTCTTGGCAAGTTGATCGGGCATTAGCAAGCCTCCCTCATATCTTTTGCATGAAGAATGAAAGGATGAAGTTGCGGCCAAAGATCAGAGTCTGCGCTGCTTATGCGTCGCGCAGAGGCTGCATTGACCGGTCATCGTGCTTTAACATTCATATCTGCCCCGGCTTTATTTTTGGCGATTGTGAGTCGGAAAACTGCAGCATGGGGCATAGACTGCACACGAACCATAATGCCAGGGCAATCCAAGCTTTTTATCTAGAGTGTCTAAGTGATAAACAATTGGTTCTTATTGTAAAAGAGAATGGAAAGGCATTACACCAGGCGCCTTATAGTTTCCAGGAATCTTCCCAAATTCCTGAGATATGCTATAAGTCTGTGTCTGGGTTCTGTGACGTTACTGGTTGCCAGAGGTTCCACTCAAAGATCCACTTTCATTGGCAAATGACCGAAGATTTTAAAACTTGGTTTAACTTCCCGAAGAAGCAAGTTTTTTTTCTAGAAAAACGTTTCTGTAATCCTGAGAATGACCTTGTTATACTGGCAGCACTCGGTGATCCCTGCCTTAACAGAGACCTAGCCATTCTATTGAAATACAAATCTTGGGAAGTAGCCTTCAAAAACACGATCTGGGAAAACAGCTCTCCAGTAATTCCTATTTACTGTGAAGGCACAACATATAACATCAGGAGACTTTGCACCGAGAGAAGTCCGACAATGAAACTCAGAGCAAACATATTCATTTGGTATTTCCAAGATGACTCGCAGAAATGGGTTTCGTTTGACACTGATAACAATGACAGACTTGAAAAAGCTTACCAAAAGGATCCAAAAGCAACAGTGAAAGTAGAGACAAAGACATCATTACACGAAGTGGATTTCAGCAAAATGCAGCAGGAAAATATAATGACTCGGAATTATACGGTGATACGGCGCAGACCCCTGCCATTGCTGGAAACTCATTCGAGATGATGGAAAACGTCTATGTAAATTTTGAGTTATTTTGGGGAGATTGTATGTTACAGATGTAAGAATTCCATCCTGGCATATACACTCTATGTTTGTGTATTAAGTTTTATATCTATTCTATATAAGAATGTGAATATTAAGCATGTCAACCCTCAGCTGACCCCTTGTTTAGTCAATATAGTATCAATAAATACTAATAGTGCTTTTGAAATACCCCACAAAAAAGGCAACCCTCATCCGTGTTTGAAAAAAAGCTGCAAAGGTGAAGCATTTGTCTTTAAGACACACTTCAGACTCATGTTAGTAATATGCAATAAAAAACTAAATCTTTGGTCACATAGATAATAATTCCATATTTTGTTCAGGGAAACACTGTTTACTCCCCTCAGGAGCCATGGGTGCTTGACTGATGAACCACCCCTGGACGCGACGGAAAGTGAACAAGAATCTTTATAAATTCGAGTACACGCATTAGACTTCTTGATTCCAAATTTACCTATTTTGCTAATAGCATGGGCAATAAAAAGACGTGCTAGATACTTTTCTCGGTTTGGAGATGAAAATAGGATAAAAGATATAGAAATTTCTGTCCAGTCTGAAGTGAATCCGAGTTGATAGCTCGCGAGCCTGACAAGTGGGGATGCTTTCGTCAAGCCACCTCACTTCACCTAGTCTACCCAGGTTCAAAAGCGGTTTTCTACGGGATAATAAAGTAGAAGACGCCCAGAGATTCGTCATTATTATCAGACCTTCCTTAGAAACAAATGATGTCACCATGTATTTTTGTATTTTCATTTGATAACTGTTGAAATCAAGAATCCAAAGAGAACAACAAAAGAAAAACAGTATATAAAGAGTTTAAAGTATGTTCGGTTGTGTTTTGTTTCTGTAACGTGTGACCACTGTCTTTAATAGCCAGATGACGAAAGCGTTGCAGTAGTCTTCTTGGGGAAATGCCAATTTGTGAATCCTATGGTAATCGATCTTTGATGCACATACATTCTTACATGTAACGTATTTGCTGGCTTCGTTTATGCCACTCCGTAAGTAATTGTGATATTATGTGTTTACACAGATTGTTAAATTCTGACAAAACTGATTTTTATTTATTTTTTATATTCACTTGAATTTTACATTTACAGTGCCATATTATATTTTTAGTTGTTAATTCACTGTTAATTTAGCAAATTGAATGTATAAATCAAAATGTAATTAAAATTAAATGATCATAGACATTCTTTTTATTCACCTTTTTCTATAAATGATTTTCTCTACAACAATATGATCATGTAAAGTTTCTTATGCACTATATATATATATATATATATATATATATATATATATATATATATATATAGAGAGAGAGAGAGAGAGAGAGAGAGAGAGAGAGAGAGAGAGAGAGAGAGTGAGAGAGAGGGAGATGAATGTATGTATATATATATATATATATATATATATATATATATATAGAGAGAGAGAGAGAGAGAGAGAGAGAGAGAGAGAGAGAGAGAGAGAGAGATGAATGTATATATATATATATATATATATATATATATATATATATATATATATATATATATATATATTTCTTTATCGTAAATAAATATTGATGGCGGCCTATTATATGTTAAACCCGAACTCTTTATTTGGACTGACAGTTGGCAGGAAATTTCTACTTTGCATGTCTCCACTCAGGACGAATGGAAATGCAATATCAAATCCTAACAGTGCTTCCACTGACCAAAGGGAAAGCAAGCCGAGGCAGCTTGTAAACGTCGCCCGTGCTTCCAACGCCAAGAAAGTGAGACTGGGCCCGATTCCTCTTCGCATAGCCTTCTTTCGTGAAGTTTCCGTAAGCCAAATATTTTCGTAAGTGCAAAGCAATAGGACTGTTCGCGCTGTACGCTCCGGCTATCATTTGTCTATCGCATAAGTCTGACAGAAACCTCTGACGAACGAATAGTCACGAAACGTTGCGATCGTCTGAACACCAATGCGTATGAATCTGTGTTTACGGCCGAAAGGTGAAGCAGCCATGGGTGCTGAAAACCAGAGTGAACTGGTCAGAAGCCACAAAGAACTACAGAAAATATTTTATTTATTGGAAACTTTCTGCCGTATCAACATCTAAGGTCATTAGCGGCGTATAGGGTGGGACTTAGGGACGTAGCCCCCGGTTAAAGATTTTTGGTTTATAAGGCGATGTTTGTGGATTCCCACAATGGTTAGTGGGTAAACAAATAAATGTGCTAGAGATAAAGGTCTTACAGCATTATCATAGTGTATTTTGGAGAAAAGGGAAAACAATTAGTTAACGCTTAGGATACGTGGACAGAAGTGGATGAGGAAGAGAAGGAAAAAGAAATGGGAATAAAATACCATGCAAATTTGCTGAGGCGAGGGATAAGGTTCAATTAGGTCCTTCTCCTACTCCCCCCCCCCCCTACACACGCATGCGCGCGCGCACACACACACACACACACACACACACACACACACACACACACACACACACACACACACAGACAGACAGACAGACACACACGCACACACACACACACACACAAGGGATAGGGGTAATACACATGCGAGAGAGAAGAAACATTGGAGAAATATTAGAAAGAAATGTGTGCGTTAAGAGCGGAGTCAAAACATTTAATAACGAACAGGACCTTATGTTACGGAAGGGTTGGTATTTTGGGGTTAGAATTGGTCTCGACCTGATTCATAATGTATCGAATAGTCATTCGTGGATTCCTGTGGATTCACTGTGACATGATATTATTCCCGAAAAGGATGGAATATGCCTTGCAATGTGCAGACAAGCCACAGGCCTTCTAGGTTATAATAATAATCTACGACGAAAACACTTTTTTCTGAAGGCACCAACGCTGCGATGTATGTCGAACAAAACACCAGTAGGTAACACAACCCCCTCCCATGTGAATTTATAGCCTCTCACTTCATGATTTACCTTACATACCCAAAAGTAAATGGAAAATCAGGGGTACCAACAATTTCCTAGCGTTAACAACTATATTTCAAAAAGTATCGTTGTTTGTGTCGGAATGTTTAGTATGATATTCTAACGATAGTTTTCTGTGTAGCTGTACCATATTATTATTATTTCTATTGTTATTATTACTGTTATAGTTATTATCATAAATCATATAATTATTTATTTATTAAGAAAGTGATACATGATACATTCATCTTTATCTAAAATCATTATAACTGCTGCGAGTTGCTTCCCTCTGACTATCCGAGGCGTCATGTTAGAGCAACAGATTCTGATATATATATATATATATATATATATATATATATATATATATATATATATATATATATATATGTATATATATATGTATATATATATATATATGTATATATATATATATATATATATATATATATATATATATATATATATATATATATATATTTCTCCGAGGAAGTTTCTGCTACACCCACCCACACACACACACAAGAACGGTCTCGGCACTTCGGAGTGATGCGCAGCTTTAGGTGACAAGGCCTATGACGCCACTTAGCAAGGCTGAGAACGTAGGGGGGGGGGGGGGTAAAAGGCAGCCTAGAGGAAGGATATAATAAAGAACGATAACAAATTGAGCAAACACTAATGTAAATGTAGATGCTGGATCAATACGGCGATTTGCACATTGGACTGGTTTTACAGGCGATAATTAACTGCGATTATCTTTAGGTATGCACTATATTTTACTTGGTTACAATTTCATATTTACTTATATAGACCTTAGAAGTGGCATAGCTCAGTGGTAGAGGGCTGGCTTTGCCATCGCAAAGTCCTGGGTTCGTGCCCGGCCGCCTCTCTCAGTCGACTCAAACGTGAATTAGCACTGTAGTGGTGACGTTAGTATGCTGGGGTCAAAGTCGGGGGCGGAAAGGAATTGGCCACCTTACCGCATCATCCCGCTGCTTAGTATGCATTTTAGAAACGACCCTCAAAGGAAAAAGGATTAGACTCCACACACAGACGAATCAGCTGGAGGAAGACGTGGGTGGGCAGCGACCCCCCGAGAACGCATTACTGCTACCTTCCACCGTCCCCCGAAAGAGTTAGCAGCCTGTTTTCCGGAGGCGAATTTTTCTACCAGAGGTTCATGGTTATCAGCCCTCGCCTTCCTCATTTCTATGGGCTACCTAAACCCCATAAGCCGGCCGTGCCTCTCCTCCCGGGGATCTGTGACGCATCCTCTTGCGGCTGGCGAAGTCTCTCACTCCCCTTTTTGGCACCATCTCTCCTGCTCACCTCCGCCACTCTCAGGACTTCATCTCCCGTGTCCCGGTGTTTCGCCGGCGATCATGATGAGCTTGGATGTCGACTCCCTGTTCACCAAAGTCCCGCTTGATAACGTCGTCGCTTTCCTTCAGAGGAGGCTACCCGCTGAAGATCTTTGTCACCTTCTGCCCAAATGCATCTGTGTGTGGAGTCTAATTCCTTTTCCTCTGAGAGTCACTTCTACTCTCAGACGTTTGGTGTTGTAATGGGCTCTTCCCTCTCGCCATCTTGGCAAAGCTGTTCATGGAATTCTCCGAGTGTGAGCTTCACCCTTCCATCTTCCTTCGTCCGTCGGTTTGGCTAAGATATGTTGACGACGTCTTTGCTGTCTGACCTCTTGACCCTGCCCTGTTCTCGGACTTCCTGACCCAGCTGAACTCTCTCTCTCTCCTTTCATCCGTTTCAAGGTGGAATGGGAGGTTGAGAAAAAGCTCCCTTTCTTGGACACCCTAGTTCATTGCTCTTCTGGCCACTTCTCTTTCTCTATATACAAGAAGGCTATGCATAGTGGTATGTACATACGCTTCTCATACTATCCTCTCATTGTAAAGAGAAGGGTTGCCACCTCGCTGTTCCTCCATTTCTGTGACCCCTGGTACCTGGATGGAGAGACTGACTTCCTGCATTGTTCGTTCTCCAAACTGGGCTACCCTCATTATGTTCTCGACGTTGCCTTATCCAAGGGCACGGTGTACCTTCTACCACAACTCCTTTCTGGAAGAGACTCCTCGCCTGTCCATCCTCAGTTTGACCTACACTGAGATCTACTCTTTCCATCGCCCTCTTCACCCTCTCAACTGCAGGCCAGGTGAACACTCTCCCCATTGCAACCTGGTTCACACCAACCCTACCTCTACCTCGAAGGTGGTCACCTTGTTCCTTGTGCCTCCTATATAAGCAGTACTTTGGCAAGACAAGTGCATCTCACTAAGTGTCTCAACATAAGTATGCTGTATCCAGAGCTGTCCATGCCTGCAGACTGATGGAATGCTAGCTATTCAAGCTGCTGCCTAATTTTAACTTGAACAGCGGCTTTTCTCCTGCTGATAATCTCCGTTTCCTTCTTGCTTATGCCAGCCACCCTGCGCATAGTCCACCCGATCCTCTGACCTGACTTCCCTTCACTTCCGTTTGTCTGTCCTCATCTGCCCTGTGTTAAAGTGTTGCCTCTCCTCTCTTTTATACTCCCTCCTTTCCCTTTCCTCTTCAGACTTGAAGATGGAATCCATATGGATTTCAAAACTGTAGCCTCAGTACTGTAGCCTTTCTGATGGGTCAACATCTCAGGTCATTTAGCGGCATATTCAATATACAGCCCCACCGTATCGCCAATGGGAATTGCACTTGCACTAAAGCAAATAATATAATTATGTGGCATTAGAAGCTGGACCCAAGGGAAGTCAATTGAAATTCAAATCAGTTCCATCATGGCTGGACTGTGTATAAGGTGCTGCTTTGCCTTTCACTTGCCAAATATTATGGCAATAACGAAAAGACAATTCCCGTCAACAATGACGACGAGAATTTTGACGACTTGTAGGCTGGCCATTGCGATTTTACTGGGCAAAGTAAAAAATTATTGGTGCGAGTTCCAGATATTTGCCCAAGCTTTGAACTAACAGAACATATGAGGTGATGTGGGGGGGGGGGGAGTCCCCCTGAAAAGATATTGTAGCTGTTTGCGAAGGAATGGACTACTAGATTTATTTGAAACAAGACAAGAGCTCTCTGATGAACAAAAGGCTTCTTCTGTATGCGCCATAAATCCAGTATTAAAGTTTAAGCCAGATCTCTAATGTGCAAGCACAATGGCAGCATCCAGGATTAAATTTAATTCACCTCCAGACCCGAATTTACTTTTGAGCTCAAAGATTAATCCTGTACATGGCAGAATGAGAAAATTAATC